CAGCTTTGATATTAAAACCTGCCCCGATTTGGCTCCTTTTCAACTGAAATGCTTTGCAGAAGGCAAAGGAGGGGGAAGAGGCAAAAGCAGGAATTTGGGGAATAAAAAAATAAAAACAAAGCCCCCATCCTTTAAGGTGAAGTGTTGGCTTTTGCAGGTGCATGGGCTGAGCAAACAGCTGTCCTGGGGCTCTGTGGTCCATGAGTGGCAATGTACTCGATGCACAACCTGTCTCTGTGAGGGTGGTGAGACATCCAGAAGCTGCACTGCCAGCTCATTTGCAAAACAGATTTGGTGCTGCTGCTGCTGCTGCTGCAAAGTCAGGGGGAGATGGACTGTGGCTGCTCCCATCCCAACGTCCTGGTTCTTTGTGTGAGCGCAGGGGAGGGTTAGATGTGGAGATGAAGGGATGAATTTAGAGTGCAGGGCCCTGTGTTTGGCAGGTGTCAGTGGCGTGGCAAGGCTGTGCACGTGGGTTAAGCTGTGAGGAGGAGAGGATTGATGCTGTAATACAGACACGTCGCTGTTGAGGTTGTACCCCCGGAAACTGTGAGTTAACTAAATAATTAATGAAACTGGGACCTGCCTCTTCCCTGCTTTGCAGCTAAGGAAGCAAAGGTGGGGTATGACTTCTTAAAACACTGGGCTGGAGCTCAGAAGATTGCTGTTCTGTCTTGTGCTCTCCAACTGACTGGCTAAATTTGGGGGGATGTTAGATCTTTGTGCCTCCATCCTGGCTGCTGCTGCTAATTATTCCCTTTGCCTTGCTTACTATGTGTCTTGTTGATTTAGTCCCCACACTTCTGGGGCCAGAGGCATCTCTACCACATTGCAGGGCTTTGCCTGAAAAAAAAAAAAAAAACCAAACGTAAAAGAGGAAATGTTTCATTGTGTGATGGAACTGACTGCCAAAAATACTGCTGGGGGGGCAGCCCAAACGCAGAGCCGGTGCACGGGATTTGGTGCTGGGGTACAAGGTGAACCTGAGATGCTGGAAGGATCATCCTGGGGATTAAATCACTAATGTGGGATCTCTCTGGAGGACCAAGCCAGGGGCAGGACACCTGTGGCAGGATGTCACACGGGTGTCACACCTCCCTGTGTGCCCAGAGCTGGGGCTTCTGGAGACTGGGGGGTGGGGGGCACAGGTCTGAGAGGGTTAGTGCTGTTTCAGAGTTCCTGCATGATCTTGGCCTTCCCCTGCACCAGTGCAGCTGCCTGGGAGGGAGATGGGGCTTGCAGCCTGTCCTGCTGACGTGTGTGGGAATAGTGGGAATAGCAGGGCACGGCGCGAGTCGGAGCGAGCGTCTGCTGGCAGATGGGCCCGGGGGTGGGAGTGGAACAGCGGGAGAGAAGCAGGGATGGGGGGTAATGAGGTGCCTTGGCAGAGCTGTGAAACCAAGGAATCTTCACTGCTCACATTCCAACTGCTGTCACATGGAACCTGGTGCTTCTGTCACCAGTTCTTTTCCATGGAGTCTCTTCCTGCCTCAAAGCCCTGGTTGGGCTTTGCTGCCTCCTGGCCGGGTCTGGGAGGGGCGAGCAGAGCAACGGGACTTCTTGTTGTTCCAAAAGCCACAAATC